GAGGTTTGTGGTGCCCTGAAGGACCACAGAACATGCACAGACACAGTGGAGCTGTGGTAGTACTGTTCATGAGAGTGGAACAAGCAGAGAGGAAAGCTGTCTGAAAGGCTAGTAGGGAAGAGAAGAAAGTTGGCTTTTTGAAAGGCCTTTTGAGGGGGGAGTGGCATCATCTGGCTGCAGAGCTCTGCAGGGGTGCTGACCTCTGGTGGTAGAGGTTGCAGTGACAGCTTTGCGTTGGCAGCAGGGTCTGCCTGGTCCTGTTGGTAATGCAGTTGCTGCACAAGCTCTGCCTCCGCCACTGAGTCTGCGTGCTCTTGTTTTGGCAAGTGTTTTGGACCTAGTAAATCTTAACCTCCAGTACAACTCACAGTTGTATGAAATAGCAGTAGTTAAATTTGTCCTATCAGCTGGGCACTGGTGCCTCACCGCTGTAATCCTAGCTACTCAGGATGCTGAGATCTGAGGATCGCAGTTCAAAGCCAGCCCAAGCAGGAAAGCCCATGAGACTTTTGTTTTTGTTTTTGTCGGTCGTGGGGCTTGAACTCTGGGCCTGGGCATTGTCCCTCAGCTCTTCAGCTAAAGGCGAGCACTCTACCACTTGAGCCACAGCGCCACTTTATGGAGATAACAGTGGTTTATTGGAGATAAGCATCTCACGGGCTTTCCTGGCCGGGCTGGATTTGAACCATGAACCTCTGATTTCAGCCTTCTGGGTAGCTAGGATTACAGCAGTGAGCCACTGGCACCCGACTTGGCTCATGCTTTTTATCCCAGCTACTCAAGAGACAGATCTGAGGATTGCAGTTCAAAGCCACCCCAGGCAAGGAAGTCTTTGAGACTTTTGTCTCCAATTAACCAGCAAAAGGCCAGACCCAGAGTGATGGCTCAAGTGGTAGAATGCCAACCTTGTGCAAAAAATGCTCAGGAAGTGCTGTGAAGGTGGCTCAGTGGTAGAGTGCTTGTCTAGCATGCATAAGGCCCTGGGTTCGATTCCTCAGCATCACATAAGCAGAAAAAGCCACAGGTGGTGCTGTGGCTCAAGTGGTAGAGCGCGCTAGCCTTGAGCTGAAGAGCTGAGGGACAGTGCCCAGGCCCAGAGTTTAAGCCCCATGACTGACAAAAGAAAAAAATGCCCAGGAACCCAGGCCCCAGTGTTGGAATCTCTGTTGCCAGTGTAGAGGTGTAGAGAGGCAGTGGGTGTTTAAGGCATGGGGCCTGGTGCAATATGATTAGGTCTTTTGTGGACATAGTTTAATGGGAGGGGACTAGTTCTCTCTAGAGCCAGCTGTTGAGAGTCTGGCCCTTTCCCACCTTCCTCTGGCATCGCCATGACACCCCATCCTTCCCCCCCCCCCCCCCATGTTCTGGTCTCTGCCATGTCGTGGCGCAGTCAAGAGTATTGCTCTCAGCCTGAGTATCAGGCTGTGCGCAATGTCTAGCCTTGGGAATCATGAGCCACAGAAACCTCTTTTCTTTAACTATTACCTAGTACCAGAGATCTTGTTAAAGCAACACAGAACAGAGACTAACAGGAGAATGTTTTAGTACCTGACAGAGAAAGCTAGAAAGGAAAGGCCTGGCTGATGAAGAGGAAGGAGCTGGGGAGGAATTGGGGGTCTCTGAAAGTGGGACTTCTCACCAGACTTGGCACATGCCCAGAAGAACCACTGCTGGTCCTCAAGAACCACGGCAGTCGCTCTGGGCCCGCTGAGCTTGCTTCTCCATTCTTAGCAGGCATGTTGAAAACGGCCTCTGGCCCCATCACCCGTGGCCCAATTCTGACCCATCAGCTCACTGACCAGAGTCCCAGGCCCCCGCGTCACCCAGTGCAACTCATAAAAAGGGAAAGCTGTTAAAGGTACAAAGCATTTGACGTGTGCTGGGAAATGTGGGAGGATTTTTATATTCATTTTCTCCATGATTATAATAATAGCTGCCATCTTGCGGCACTGTTGTAAGCCACGCACCATGTACCTAGTCCAAGGCCGCGGAAAGGTGGTTCCTGACCTGTGCCACCTGCTCAGAGCCAGGATGAAATAATCTTCCCTTCAAGCCCCCACGGGTCACCTTCTCATTCTTTTGTTTGTTTGAACTCAGGGCCTCTTTCTTGATTGCGGCTTGCTCATTTGGTTTGTTTGCTTTCTCTCACTGCCGGTGGTCAACCACTTAAAGCTCGGGCTGTCAGTGCTCTGCTTTAGTTTCCTCCCCCTCCCTGCCGTTTTCTCTCTCTGCCAGCCTAGATCAGTAATTGGCACCCCCGCCACCAACGTCAGAAGAGTGATGCTTCATCCGCTGGCACGCACCCATACCTGCTCACAAGTGTTTTTACCTGTGTTCCCCGTTTGTGTTGCACCATCACAGTAGTTGGTCTCTCCAGACCCCCGCTGCCCCTCCAGTACGTGTTGAGTGCCCAAATTACAAATGTGAGTGATCATGCCATCTTTTTGTCTACAAACCTTTTTGCAGTCTCCCTTTGCCTGAAGCCCAGGGTCCAGATTGCTTAGCAGGGTCTCTGGTGGCCCTGCTGCTGCCTCCCTGCCCCTGCCCTGCCCATCTCTTTCTCCTTGGGCCCTTGCCTCTTGCCCCAGGCATTTTCCCTCCAACTCTTCTGGCTTGCTTTGTTTTTCTGGCAGTACTGGGATTTGAAGTCAAGGTGCTCTACCTCTTAATCTAATCTATACTCTCAGCCCTTTGTGTTCTGCTTGCTTCTGAGATAGGGCCTCACTTTTTGCTCTGGCCACCCTGGGCTAGAGTCCCTGATGTATGCTTCCCCATGTAGCTGGGATGGCAGGCGCTCACCACCACACCCTGATTTTACTGTTGAGATAAGGGATCACAGACTTTTGGGCCTGGATTGACCTCCAACTTTGATCTGCCCAGTCTCAGCCTTATGCAGAAGTAGGGATAAGTGGTGTCACCATGTCCAACTATTGGTTAAAATGAGGTTTCATTAACTCTGCCCTCCCTCCCCCAGCTGGCCTCATCTCACTATCCTCCTGAATAACTAGGGTTATCTTCTGGCCTTCTTTCACATTGTCCAGCCACTTGCTCCTTGCAGGCCCTCTGGACTTGCCATGCGCTGTTCCTTTCCCCTTGGTGTTCTTCCTGTCCACTTGGCCCCCTGCTCCTCCAACAGTAAGCTCTTCTGGACTTTTACTTCCCATCATAGAATCCCTCCCAGTCAGTGAGTGCTGGGAAGAAGAAACGGGTTTCTTTGCAGTCCATTACCAAGCTCTAGGATGGGAGAGACTGGAAATTTAGGCCTGGCCAGGCCCTGTGTAAGCGTGTGGAAATGAATGGTGAACCGAGGAAAGGGCAGCTGAAGACTGCACTGGTCACAGAGGTGAGGAGCTGCACGCTGCCGTGTGACAGGACCTCTGCGTCCGGTGGTCAGACCACTGGAAGGAAGGCGGCTGCAGCCTGAGCCTGGGTCTCAGGGAGCAGAGCATCTTGAGGATCTTGCTTTTGTGGCAGCAAGCTCTGTTGGACTAGCCTCAGGAGAAAGGAGCATCATTTAGCCCAGAGAGTAAAAGGAAAGAGCTAATTCTGGAACATTCTGGCTGAATTGGAGTCACTTTTGAATCTGTAATGAGCTGATTTCTTCTGCCCCATTTTGAGCTCTTTTCTGTGGATTAGAATGGGTGTCCCAGCACGGAGGTCCCGCACGTTGTGCTGGCTGATTCCTGTTCCCCTCTGGGAAGGTGGGTGGGGAAGGTGAGCTAGTCACACTCATTGAGTAGATTCTGTGACGAAGCTGAGAACCTTACCAGTCATCATGACGTCAAGACGCACACAGCACCGCAGCCCCCTAGCGTTGACTGTCGTAGCTTAGAGGTGGGTCCGTGTGGTATGGCTCCCTTTTAAATGCATATGTAATTACCAGCACAGATCGGAGTCCCTCTCCTGTTTAACAGCACCCAGACCTTGAGCAATGATTTTTGGGCTTTGGACTCTTCCTGTGTGACTTGCAAATACCACTGGCACCTAACTTCTACCAAACAGGAGCGTGCATTGCTCTGGTGCCTGTGGGGCTACAGGCCGCAGTCCTTTCCTTCCAGAAAGGCCCTGGAAGGGATAAGGAACATAACTAAGCTCAGCTCTCTGAGCCGGCCCCCACTGGCATTCCCTCCTTCCGCAGTCGTCCCCTCACCCAGGCAGCCAGTGGGCATCTCCTCACGCCCAAGCTGGCAGCTTCGGGGTGGTGTTGGAGCCTGCCTCCATTCCTTTACGGGAGGGATGTTGTTACCCCACTTCACAGACGAAGAAATTCAGGCTCCAGAGAATAGCACTATGTGAGATACAAACCTGCGCTCCTCTCCCAACTCCTACCGTGACAAAAGACTGTGTGCTCAGGACCGCTGGCTGGTGGCCCCTACAAAACTTGGGGTTCAGGTGCTTACCAGAAGCACCAAGTCAGGGGCCGAGGGTTTAGACCTTAGACCTACCCCAGGTCTCTGAGGAGAGTGGCTGAAGGTCCAGTTGTTCATCAGTGGTCAGTGATTTAATCAGTCACACATATGTAATGAAGCTTCCAGAAAAAAAAACAAAAACCACTGGGTCACTCGGCTCCCTGAGCCTCCACTCCTTGCCACCCAGGGATCTGTGGTGATAAATGCTTAAGCCCTTCCCTGGGTTCTGTGAGCCACCCAAGCAAATTGTGGAAGAGGGTCACGAGAACCCCTGTTTATAGCAGTCACTGTGGATTCCCAGAGGCCTGGACTTCCAGCGGGTGTCAGGAGTGGGGGACAGACTAGGAGCCTGAAGCCACCCCAGGTAGATGGTCGGAACTGAACTGAATTAGTGGACTGCCCACGGATGTTAGCCACAGGCAGACCCAGAGCCCACACTCAGTGTGGAGGCGCAGCTCTCCGGCCTTTGGTCCCGTAGGTGCTGTGTGCTGATCGTGAAGTGTTTGTTTCCTCCCTCACTGAAGGATTCATTTGCTCGAGGTAACAGTGAAGGTGCCACAGTTGTGGTCCACGTCCTGTCTCTGTGCACTTCTGCTGCTTTGTCTCCCTGTGAACTTGGAATCCTTGACGAGTTCCCAAGGGAGCAGACTGGCTTGCTGCCTCTCAGGCATGTAAGCCATTAAAGGTGTCACCATTCGTGCCCTATTGCAATGACTGTCCTGCGTGCGTGCGTGCGTGCGTGCGTGTGTGTGTGTGTGTGTGTGCGTGCATGCGTGCATGCTGGTACTGAGGCTTGAACTCAAAGTGTGCATGCGTAATGTATTACAGCTCAAACTCAAGAGCCTCATGCTTAGTTTTTCCACTCAAGGCTGGCACTCTTCCATTTGAGCCACACCTCCACTTCCAGGTTTTTGCTGGCTAATTGGAGAGAAGAGTCTCTGGGATTTGTCTGCCGGAGCTGGCTCTGAATTGTGATCTCAGATCTCAGCCTCCAATGAGCCACTGGCACCTGGCTCTATGTTTGAATTTAAAATAGTAATTCTTCAAGTGCTCTCACATATGTAAGAGCAACAGCATGCCACATTAAGAGACAGCAGAGAACCCACAGCAGGAAGATTCAGCGTTTTGTTTAAGCCCTAGAAGCAGTCATGTTGAACTCATTACAGTTGCTTTTCTTAGGTGTCAAACTGCAGAGGCATGTTTTGTTTTTTTGGTGCCACCCCTAGGCTTGAACTTAGGGCCTAGGCACCATCCTAGGTGCTTTTGTGCTCAAGGCTAGTGCTCTACTACTTGAGCCAGAGCTCCACTTCCAGCTTTTTTGGTGTTTAGAGACAAGGAAGAGTTTTACGGATTTTTCTGCCAAGGCTGTCTTCAAACCAAAACCCTCAGAGCTCAGCCTCCGGAATAGCTAAGATTACAAGTGTGAGCCACCAGCACCTAGCTTTGCAGAATGCTTTTTGTAAGTACTGTCTTGAGTTGATCTGCCACCCTCAAATGTCTTGCTAACTATATTCATTCATCTCTCTTCTCTCCTGAAATCTGCTGAAGTGACAGAAGCCAATTAAACCAAACATAAAAGTAGTTGTACTCAGCAAAAATGAAGTTTAGTCCTCAGAGACAGCAATAGCACAGATAAACAAACTTCTGTCAAGTCTGTTCAAGAACAAATGGAGGGCTGGGAAGGTGGCTTAGTGGTAGAGTGCTTGCCTAGCATGCATGAAGCCCTGGGTTCAATTCCTCAGCAAACATACACAGAAAAAGCCAGAAGTGGCACTGTGGCTCAAGTGTTAGAGGGCTAGCCTTGAGCAAAAGAAACTCAAGAACAGTGCCCAGGCCCTGAACTTCAAGCCCCAGGACTGACCAAAAAAAAAAAAAAAATTTGAGAAGGTCAGATGCTGTGGTCCATATGTGTAATCCTGGCTTCTTAGAGGGTCATGAGTCAAGGTCAGCCCAGGCAAGAAATTCACAAAAAACAAACAAACATCACAACCAGTGAAAAGCTGGGCACCCTGGTAGAGGTCTGCCATCTTAGCTGCAGGGAAAAAGCATAAATAGGAGGATCACAGACCAGGCAGACCTGGCAAAAAGTAAGACCCTATTTCAAAAGTAACCAAAACATTAAGGGCTAGTGGTTCAGCTCAAGTGGTAGAGTAAACACTTTCCCTGAGCAGACACAAAACACTGAATTCATACTCTAAAACTTACACACACACACACACACACAAAATAACAAAGGAAGAAGAGGAGGAGGAAGCGGGGGGGGGGGGGAAATAATAAGCAAAACTTGTATTTTTTTACTTTTATTTTTTGGGTCCGGTCGTGGGGCCTGAACTCTGGGCCTGGGCGCTGTCCCTCAGCTCTTCAGCTCAAGGCTAGCGCTCTACCACTTGAGCCACAGTGCTACTTCTGGCTTTTTTTCTTTTTGCTTATGTGGTGTTGGGGAATCGAACCCAGAGCCTCATGCATGCAAGGCAAGCACTCTACCACTGAGCCACCTTCTCAGCCCAATAAGCAAAACTTCTAAGCATCAAAATTAGAGGCTTCTTGACTGTCGTCAGATTTTTTTTAAATAATACTGCAAGAAAAAAATACCCAAAGTTATATCAGCAAGTGTTTGAACTTTTACTTCTTGAGCAAATATTACTGCTGTGTACTTCCCTGGTTTAATCACCATGGGAAAAAAATTCTAATGGTTGAGTTGTGCACTTTGAACAGAATTATCTATGTAGATATGAATTACATATTAATAAAACTTTTTAAGAGTAATTAGAAGGTCTCAGTTTCTCTAAAAAAGAGGCCTAGTAGCCTATTTGCGAATGAATTCCATGAATTCAGATAGGCAGCAATGTCCTTGTTGGTGGAGTGATTTTGGGGATAGACAGAAGGGGTATTCTAAAGCTGGCTTGATTCTGACATCAGTAGCAGAGAAAGGTGGCACACAGATCAAAATCAGTCAGTCATACATGTAAAAATACGGGCAAACCCATAAATAGACATGAGTCACATACCACATTGGAAGCCTAATGTATTGTAATCAAGCAAGGTTTATCCTGAGAGGTGAGAATCTGGAAGTGTGAGAAGACCTGCTAGCATCTCAGTAGATACTGAAATAGCCATTACTAAAATTATACCAGTGTCCCTTTCTAAAGACCCGGAGTGAAGTAGGGACAGAAGGAAATTCTTGGAGCTGGGTGCATGGCTCAGCGGCACAGCACCAGCCTGCTAAGCACCATACTCAGTCCCTCCCCAGCCACAGGGCAATGAGAGGGATCCGACATCCACAGTCAAGCACAGAGAGGTTTGTGGGACCACAGAGAAAGATCACAGCACACGGGACCCCAAGAAATAACAGCTTCCCCCACACCAGTGGTCTAAATAGGGAATGTGCATCTAAGGGGACAAGGTGAGGGCACATGGGCACCTGGAAGCTGGCACTGGAGTAGAGGCGTGGGTGACCAGCCATCCTCAGCCAACATCCTGACCTCCTTCCCAAGCTCCAGGCACTGCTTCTCTGCCCCTCCTCTGCCTTGGAGAGTTAAACAAAGCACGTGAGGCCCACTGATGATCCAAGTATATCATACATATGCGTGAGAACCCACAAAAACAGTTTAAAAGCAACATGGAGGGAGGAAGGGGCTTGGGAAAGAGTAATGTAAGTAGATGACTTTGATCAAAGTACACGATATGAGTGTTTAAATATAGGACATCCGCTCGATCACGGCGGTGATGGCTTGCTGCTCTCTGCCCTCCTGGGAGCCGGTGCTGGAGCAGGTCAGTGAGGCAGGATTAGTTCCGAGATGGCTGGCGCAGGCCTGCGGCTCTGGGCTTGACAAAGAGCTCAGTAGCCACCACGTGTCTTCTACACAGGCCACTCTTTTTCCCTCCACACTAGAAGCCTTCCCTTTTGCGGGGAGGTCAACCCTATGTGAAAAGCAGGGTGAAACCATAAGCACTGGGCCAGGCTCTGCCTCCTCTATAGTCTCTGCTTCACTCACTGCCTACCCAGGCCCCCAGTGTGGAGAGGCTACGATGGTCATGTGAGGAGCGCATTAGTGGGTGGTAGCAATCTTTCTGCGCAAGGCCTCCTGAAGCCATTTCCAAGCTATTCTCTCATGGGCCAGCCTGCATAGTTTGGGCAAAACTTACTAAAAACTATTTCGTACTGTTACCTTTTGAATATTTTTGCCTAGCAAATTAGAGCAATAGTCTCTTCTCTCCATTTTCATACAGTTAAGACCCAAAAGGCCAAATAATATTACATTTTTTTGTCTACATGATTTTGTGTGTGTATGTGTATCAGCTCTTTCTAAATGTGTTAATGGATGTTGGAAAAAATAATTTGTGATGCGAATGATTATCTCAAAACATGGCATTGTCTACTTTGCTCTTTTTTCCAGGCTATTTTAGAAATATGTATATGGTAGTGCAAACATTTAAGTCTGTCAGGCACCTGTAATCCTAGCTACTCAGAAGGCTGAGATCTGGGGACTGAGGTTCAAAACCAGCCTGAGCAGGAAAGTCTGTGAGATTCTTATCTCCAGCTAACCAGAAAAAACGCTGGAAATGGAGCTGTAGCTCAAGTAGTAGAGAACCAGCCTTGACCAAAAAGCCAAAGGACAGTACCCAGGCCCTGAGTTCAATTCCCAGTATCAACACATGTACACACATGCGCACGCACACACACACACACCAAAAGAAAAATAACCCCAAAAGAAAAATAGTAAGTTAAAGCTTCAGGATATACTGTTGTTGTTTTACTTGGTTTTTAGTGATAGTTGTTAGCTCATCTATTGGGGCAGTATTTATCTGACCTTCCCCCTCCCACCCCCCAAAAACTCTTTGCATTGTGCCAATTGCATAAAGATCTCTATTGTAAATACAGTTTATTTACTGAATATCACTAATCGGTTCCCTGGTAATCTTTGAATGGTATTTGTTTCTTATCATTTTTCTCCCTGACAGAACCATCGCACAAACCCCAGGTCTGCTCTTGATCCTCTTCGTCTGACCTCTGCCCCTTTGAATAGCATACAAATTGGCAAACATTGGCTAGTGCCTAATGCATGAAGGGAACTCACTGTGGTCCTGGGGTATAAAGCAGAGTCAGGGGGCTGGGAAGTTAGTTCACTGGTAGAGTGCTTGCCTCGCATGAATGAGGTCCTGGGTTTGATTCCTCAGCACCACATAAGCAGAAAAAAGCTAGAAGTGGTGCTGTGGCTCAAGTGTTAGGGTGCTAGCCTTGAGCTGAAGAGCTGAGGGACAGCGCCCAGGCCCAGAGTTCAGGCCCCACGACCGACCAAAAAAAAAAACAACTCAGGCCTCTTCACTATAAATTGGCTGGCTTGTGACACCATGGGGTGTGTCAGGACTGGAGCCAGGAGGCCCAACTTGAGGGCCTTTGAGGAAAGTGGAGTGGGCAGTGACCTTTGAACTGAACTAGAACAGAAATTGACCCTGAGCATTCTGAGGTCTGGGCTAAGTCCCAGGCCTCTGGAAGCTGAGGTACAGCTTCCCCTGTTCCCCCGGCCTCTCAGCATCCTGGGCATCCCTTAGCCGGAAGCTGCATTGCTCTGGGCTCTGCCTTCCACTGACATTCCCCTCTGGGTCTCTCTTCTAAAGACATTTGTTACTGGCTTTAGGAGGGGGTTATC